TCGTCGTCTTCATCGTTTTAATAAGTAATAGACTTTGACGTTTCCACTGTTCATCGTCGTCTCCAAAGAGAGAGAAAGAGTAGCTTACACTATGTTTAGTGAAAAAAATCTGAGAGAAACGGTTTCGAGAGGTTTTGGAAAAGAATAAGGCCCATGAGAATCCTTTGGTCTTTGCTGAAAGAAACAACAAGTGGTTTGCATCTATTATTTTTGGTTTGCATCTATTATATAGATCTATCAATATTTCAATTTTCAACAAATCTAAAAATGTTTCTTTTATTATGGAATTTTCAAACTAGAAAAGTAATTTTGCCATTTATCTTAAATTTTTCGTGCACAAATTTTGAACTTGAGACCCTTGATTAATGATCACACTTTCATAAACCATTTGAACCAATAAACTATAAAAATTGTGACCCCATAATTTGAGGAGATGATGATGACAAGTTTAACGTATTTGAGGGAGATTGATCTGGCTCCTCAAGTCTTTGGATTCAAAGAGAAACGATCTCAAATGTTCTCTAGAATCCATATAAATTAAATTGATGGAAATTACCATGGAGGAAGTCTCCAATGCTCTGCTCAATCGTAATGATAATGTTTAGCTTTTTATCTTTTATTTTATCATATTTGTTTCTTTGTAGACATTTCATTAAAAGTGTGACTGTTTGCTATAGTTAAAGGAAAGAAAGTAGTTAAAAATATATTTTTCTCAATTCCTCTTAGTTTTTACCAATCAAAATAAAAGTAAAAAAAAATATTTAAGTTGAAAATGTATAAAAAGAGAGTAAATTATACCTCTCCTTTTAACGAGTAGAAAAGTTTCTTCCAGATTCAACTCTTTCTTTTTCTTTTTTTTTCCACTATTTTGAATCTAGTGTAGTGGAAATGAAAACAAAATTTACTAAACCTATTGTAAAAATAGAAGAACTTTCTCCGACTAGAATTTACTAGTAATTTTTTTTTTCAAAAAGAAAATACAGCTTGATTAAAAAAAAAAGTAAACAATACCTTGAAGGATTCAGCTCGATCCACGGCCATCTGAGCTTCGATCTGGGACATAGAGGTTCAAACTTTAACCTCTACCCTCTTCGTGCAAAACAATCTTCTTCCTACCTTCACGAAATTGCGGGAAATGATGAACAAAACCATTGATGAGCCTCAGTTTCGCAGTCGCCGTCGTCGGGGAGAAGAGGAAGAGAGATAAACACACTAGG